AAGCAACTCCAGCAAACTTCCTCCTGGGAAACACCCTGAGCTATCTTGTGCAGCTCCCAGGAAATCTTGAACCTCCAGGGGTTTTTAAGTGGTCCTCAGCTCACTGAGTGAAATCTAGCTCTGGTACTTCTGTCCCTCTGAGCACAAATAATCGCTGCTGGATCATGGTTAGGTCCAAAACAATTTCTGTCATCGCCTGTGACAAATAGAATCAAAGAATCACAGCATTTCTAGGTTGGAAGAGACCTTTAAGATCATTGAGTCCAACCCATGTTCTAACACCTCAACTAGATCAGGGCACCAAGTGCCACATCCAGTCTTCCCTTAAACACATCGAGGGATGGTGACTCCACCACCTCCCTGGGTGGATGATTCCAGTATTTGACCACTCTTTCTGTAAAATACTTCCTCCTGAATTCTAGCCTGTATCTCCCTTGGCGCAGCTTGAGACTGTGTCCTCTTGTGCTGTCTGAGCACCACAGCCACCCTTGAAGACAAGTTTCTCATCATAAAATATGCAGGGTAGATATTCCCATCACCATGAAATGAAAGTTTCTTTAAAATCCAGAGAAATGTGGCCCACCATCAAGTATCCTCATAAGGCCTAACGTGGCCGGAGCGGGAAAGGCAGTAATAGCAGAAATAAGACTTGTGAGTTCAGGATTTCTGACAAACATTTCTATGACCAGTGTCTGGGAGTTTATTTTTCTCTACTTTCTGTACATCTGTTTAAAATAAAGAGCCTTTGTTGGAAAACCATGTGTCATAAGTTGACATCTTAACACCATGGAGACCACCCCTTTTCAAGTCAAATCATTTCAAAAGTTTATATTCCTAGAAAAAGAAGACAGAAATATGATTAGGGAAATCCATTATGATTAGCTGCTGCCTGATTAACCTTGGTTGAGGTATCTACACTCCAGCAATTTGTAGTTTTTCACTGGTGGCTGATTAGACTTGGTCATTTTCTTTTCTACCTGAATTACCTTGTTCTACTTCACAAGAAATGTGAATTTATTAGAGAACTACCTCATATTTCCTGTGTCTATTTTTTTTTTTTTGTAATTAACACTTTAAAATAATTAAAATTGGCAGCATAAATCCACAATTCTTAGGAGCAAACAGCAGTTTGCTTTATAACTGGATAGTTCCATGGAAGTGCTCAGTGCCATGGTCTGTTGTAAAAAAAATCAAGTTTTCAGAATTATTATGGAAAAGGGAAGCACAGAATTCATCAATCTGGCAACATGTGTGTTTATGCATCAGTTTTCTGAAAGTTGTGTCATGTGGTCTCCAGCTACAGAAAGACTGGGGAATGTTCAGAAAAGGATTAAAAGGATAATAAAAGGCATTCAAGCTGTACAGGACAGCTTCTGTACAAGCAATGCCTAGGAGGCAACAGTCTTCACTCTGGAAATAGTCAGAAGGGGATTTGATGGGGCTCTACAAAATCAGGGAGAGGCAGGTTGAAGGCAGGTTGAATATACATCCACTGTTGAACACAGACAAGACACATAGGATCTAAAATGCAATTAGCTGGAAGCAGGTTCAGACCAAACAAAGAACATTTTCACTCACACCAAAATCTGTTTAGCCTGTGGAGCTTCTCACCATCCTCCTCACAGGTGCCAGAAGACCTCAGCTTTTTAAAAGAAGACTGCAGAGACTTACAGAAAAGAAATCTCTCAGGGCAATTAATAATACAGATGGTGAGCAAATTGCAGAAGACTGGAATGACATTTGAGAAATTATCTCTAAATTTTTGTCATATTTTGTAGTTTCCTAGGTGTATTCATTTGGCAAAATTCAAGACAAAACACCAGGCTAGAATGGTATTTGCTGTGACCCAGTATATTTGGGTTCATATCTTTATCTTGAGCCTGAACACCCAAGTTATGCTGGGTACCATCCGCAGGGAGCACCTGTGACAGTGTAAACCCAGAGCTGCCACTGAGTACAGAAACCAGGGGCTGAGCAAGGGATCCTGCCACTCACGTGTGACTTTCAAGGGGATTTCCAGGCATTGCTGTGCAGGGGATGTGGCAGCTCAGGCCAGCCTGTAGAATATGTGAGATCTTGAACAGGATAGATGTACCCATATCACCCTACATTGCTCTTCAAGTAACTCCTCAGAGCTTCAAGTTCCTTTTTGGATTTCAAACTGCCAATCATGCAAAATGCCTAAATGCTGGATTACTCTTTTACAATTAAACAGCCAGGGAAAAACATGGAGCTTGTAGATACAGACACATTGAAACTGAGGATCCCTTGGAATCCTGGCCCTGCAGAGGATGAGGCTGCAGCAGGTTCATTTCTCCGTGCCTTACAAGGCCCTGCAGAGCTCTTCAGTTGGCTGGGCACCTTCATGTCACATCCTGGGGCATGCACTGCAGCCTCTGATTGTCATCCCATAACACATTTCTGGTAAACTGCTGCAGATGTGTCTCTGTCATGGAATCTTCACACTGGGAGCAGGAAAATAAAAAAATAGGAGAAAGCAAAATCATACTTTTGTCCCACAGGACACCACATGAAGCCCACAGGAGATGCAGTGCCAAATGCAAAGCAGAGAGGAAAGTGCTCTGGAAGAATCAAATGGCCAAAGCAGTCTCAGCACAAACAGCTTGGCCTGAGGAGCACAGATAATATCACAGAGGGGAAGTATTTAGCAAAATTTAGGTGAATGATGTTTCCAACAAGGACACAAATCATTTTTGAAGTAAAATATGTTTCCACTTAAAAAAAACTTATATGCCAAATGAAGTAGAAGAATCATTCAGAAGCCAGATGATCTTTTGACCATCACTACCTTCAGCCTCTTCTTCCTGCCCACAATGAGCTCAGCCTCTGTGGTGTAGCATAAACCAGCTCTGCACAGATTCTCTGGTGGTTTGTGGGTTGTGTAGCACAGATTAACAGTATATAAACCACATAAAACCAACTCACACTGTCTCGCTATGGCATAACCCAGATATGACCCTAACATCCAGAACTGCTACCAGCAAAGAAGAGCCTAATTATTTTCATGGGATGTGTGGAGTTTCCTGACAAAGCAACTCCTCTAATAACTATAAAAATATCAGAGAAGCTAAAGGTACTCCTGGCTGTTGGAGACTACACAGCACTTTCTAAAAAATGTGCTGCACAACATGAGAGTGAAAGGTTTAACAGAGCCTAGACAGATTGTCAGGAAACCCAAGGCAGTTTCAGAAGCCTACAGTGTACAGGGAAAGTTCAGAGGCAGCCACCACCTCAGCCCTCAGTGTCCAGGTACTCTTTTACCCTTGAGTCATGCACAGGGGAAAGGGGAGGGAGAAATGGAATCTGTGCCCAAGGCTGAACTCATTTCTTCAAGGTTTGTCAGGGTGTTTCCACCAATAGGTCACCACACCCTCCCCACATGAAAGAGCTGTACGGAAAGCAATGCCAGTAACTTTTGGCCCCGGGCTGACATAGCGTTTTGCTCGTTCTCTGATGTGATGTGAATAAGCACAGAAAGGTGTTGAACTGAAATGCCTCAGACACTGCAGCATGAGGGTAACAAGGCCCCCTTTTCTGTGTGACAGGCTCTGACATATGGTACTGAATGTACTTGATTGTTGCATAAACTCTCTTAATTTCTGGGAAGCAGTAAGGAAGCAGACTTCCAGCTAAGATCCTTATCCTTGGATATCCCCTGGAGTGCACCACTTCAGTAACATTTTTCAGCAATACCATAATGAAGGAGCTCCTTATGTGTGCCACTGCACTGCCCTCACTATTTTCCCTCACCCCTTACTTGCCTCCAATAAAATCCCTGCCTAGGGAGAGAGAAAAAGGGAAAAAAAGAGAAAGCCAAGAGGGGAACTGTTTTCCCAGGCCAAATCCCACTTAATCTGGCTTCCCATTAGGGACTGAAGCAGATTATTCCAAGATGTGCTCTGCTGTGCAGTAGAAGTGCAGAGGCAGGCAAAGATCGCCCTCAAAGCCTGAACATCATCTGGGAACACTGGCATGGGCCACCTTAGCTGGTCTCAGTGTAAAGCTGAGAACTAATGCTGAGCTGGGCTGAGCTAGGCCGGGCCGGGCTGGGCTGGGCTGATCTGAGTTGGGCAGATCCGGGCTGAGCTAATGCTGAGCTGGGCCGGGCTGGGCTGGGCTGAGCTGGGCTG